ACAGGTAACAACCGACAAAAACACCACCTCTACACCAAGGTCAGACTCAGAACAGGTAACAACCGACAGAAACAGCACCTCTACACCAAGGTAAGACTCAGAACAGGTAACAACCGACAAAAACACCACCTCTACACCAAGGTCAGACTCAGAACAGGTAACAACCGACAGAAACAGCACCTCTACACCAAGGTCAGACTCAGAACAGGTAACAACCGACAAAAACACCACCTCTACACCAAGGTCAGACTTGGAACAGGTAACAACCGACAGAAACACCATCTCTACACCAAGTTAGTTTCAGTAGAGGTTTTACGGCGCTCGCAACTACTGCATAATGTCATATGAGCGCCAGAAGATTAGAGGTGTTACAAGAGAGTAACAAACATAAAAAAGAGGGAGGGGAGATAAGGAAGATAGATGTTTGATAGGAAAGAAGAAGCAGACGACACCAGAACACCCGCCAACCACCCACGCACCAAGGTCATGACTTAGAAAAAGTAACAACCGACAGAAACACCACCTCTACACCAGGGTCAGACTTGGAACAGGTAACAACCGACAGAAACACCAGCTCTACACCAGGGTCAAGATCGGACATTCGGAGCAGTGTCATGGCGGAACCGGCGTCCAAACAGGGAACCCTTTGCTGCAAGCCAGCCCAATGCTCCCAGCGCTTCTTTTAGTTTTAGTAAAGATGTTTTACTGCACTTGCAACACAATAAGGTCAAATAAGTGCCGAAGATTAGACGAGAGTAACAAACACAAAATAGAAGGAGAGGAGAAAAGGACGACAGATCTGATGTTTGATAGGAAAGAAGGAGCAAACCCCACCACAGCACCCGCCAACCACCCGCTCTAGCGCGTCGAGAGATATATTGTCCCCACCCTGGGCAGATAGACCCACAGCTCTATCAATGGGAGCCTGGAGGCCAGGCGGCCAACAGCTGCCCTCACTCTAGAGACACGTTTGATAAAGTAGAGGTTTTACGGCGCTCGCAACTACATAAGGTCATATGAGCGTCAAGGGGCGGATGTCAACAGTAAAGTCCAAACAGGGAATCAGACTTACTCTGCTCACCTCTCTAGCCTCAACAGCACAAAGTCTGCTTCGACTATCAAGGCACCTAGGGAATAGCAGTTCACAAGAGAGTGACAAACATACAAAAGAAGTAAATGAAAAATGACGATAGCAAGGATGATGAAAGAAAAAGCAGCAGTTCCCCCTATGTTGTTCCGGCACAGTATGAGCATGACATTGATGGATCAGCCCATTTACAATTGTACTGTGTATAAGAACATGATGTTAATGTCCCCCCTTTGGGAATGGCCTGAAGACACTTCTGTTAGTGGCACTG